GAATTACACTAATTTAACATCTCTATCAATTTTACAGACTAATTAGACGTTATGTGCTTATGTGGCATAGATTTGACCCACATTTTAAGCACTCGTCGACCTTCAACTTTAATGTTTAATGCTTTACTCTTTTAATCATTTTATGAAATTGACGGTCAACGTGTGCTTAAAATATGAATCCAATATATGATACATCAGAACTTAACATCTAATTAGACATTAAAACTGACGAACATGTTAAATTGGTATAATTCAGAAACTAGTGACTGATCCCAAATTTTTTAGTCTAAATGCAGTTTACTTTTTTTTTTGTTACTTTTTAAGAAAGCGAAAAATGAGGAAACTTTTAGAAGTGTAAACTGGCCTAGATGGACACCATTTGGCAAAACATAGCAACATACGACGGTTTAAAGTTGGACCCAGTAAAAAAGGTAGAAACCGGAACTGAAGTAGTGCGGTCTCTCTCTCTCTCTCTCTCTCTCTCTCTCTCTCTCTCTCTGAAAGTGAAAGTCGCCAACGGAGAAATACCCAGCTCTTAACTGAAAATGCAAAGAGGTGAGTGACAATGGTTTTGCAATTCTTGTTTTCCCACCGAAGCATTCATGCATGTAAATCTGATGCTTAATTTGAATATTTCTGGTCAATATTTTAAATCTTAGCCAAATACCCATCTCAGCACCATGTTCTAGATCTCATTTTCTGTAGATTTCAGCTCGAGTTTTTCCGTGCTCTTTAAATTATGAAACTTTTCAGTAATGTGCAGCGTCGTTTGTGATGTTGTCTTGCAGAGATAAATGTCTGAAGTGAAATTTTTTTTTTTTCTCTGACAAAAAAAGATGATGAAATTGGGGCTTAGAGTTTAGAGAACCATTACAAGAACCCAGAAGTTGAAGGAAGATAAATTAAGGAAAAGGGCTTTACGGGTTTGTCGAAAAAGCGAAAAACTTTGGTATTGTGTTGATTTGTGAACAAGGGTTTGTAATGGAAGGAGGGTCCAGCCAAAACTTCGTTCCTCCTTCAGCTGGGTTTGATAAGTCAAGGGTTTTGGATGTTAGACCTTTGCGTAGTTTGATGCCGGTGTTCCCAGCTGCGTCTCAGGCCCCATCCTTTCCGGGCATGCCTCCCTTTGGCAATACCCCTAATGGGTTTCCTCCGTTTTACCCATTTGGTTTACCGTCAAGCTACCAGGCCTCACCTGATCTAAATAGTGAGATGAGGACGCCAACCGGTCCCATGCCCGCTCCTATCCGGTCATATAGAGCCCCAACCTCATCTGGCGCCGATGACTTTCCAGAGGATTCCAATGGAGATGGGTACTTTGATCCTCATGTAGGTTCTAGTTCGTCTCGAAAGAAGACCACAAAAGCTAGTTCATCTCGGAAGAAGACCAAGAAAAATGGAGATGGTGATTCGTTAACAAACAATGGGTCAGGTGTGACCTTTGTTTCTGCTATGAGTTCATTTCAAATTGAAGATGGTAACAGGGAGTTGGTTAATTATGTGCTCATGAATTTTGATGCACTCCGGAGAAGGATATGCCAGATTGAAGATAACAAGGAATCGAAAACTGGGGTTATTAAGCGTGCAGATTTGAAAGCTGGTGGCATCGTGATGAGCAAAAAGGTTCGGACAAACATGAGGAGGAGAGTTGGGGTTATCCCTGGAGTTGAGATTGGTGATATTTTCTTTTTCCGAATGGAAATGTGTGCGGTCGGATTACATGCTCCATCTATGGCTGGAATTGACTACATGACTGGCAATGGTGATGGTGACAAAGATCCAGTAGCCTTAAGCATTGTTTCTTCAGGGGGCTATGATGATGAGGCAGAGGCTAGCGATGTCTTGATATACAGTGGTCAGGGTGGAAATAGCAATAGCAAAGACAAAGATAGGGAGGTTGCTGATCAGAAGCTTGAAAGGGGTAATCTTGCTCTTCAGAGAAGCTTGCATCATGGAAATGAAGTACGAGTGATTCGGGGCGTGAAAGATGATGTTAGTTCAACAATAAAGATCTATGTCTATGATGGCCTATATAAAGTTCATGAGTCATGGACAGAGAGGGGGAAAGCTGGTTGCAATATATTCAAGTACAAGTTGTTAAGGGTTCCTGGACAGCCTCCAGCTTTTGCAGTTTGGCAAGCTATTCGTAAGTGGAAGGATGGTTTTTCCTCAAGGGCTGGACTTGTTCTTCAAGACCTCACTTCAGGGACTGAACCTGTACCTGTTTCCCTTGTAAATGAGGTTGATAATGAGAAGGCGCTGGTTTCTTTCACTTATTTCCCTACACTCAAATATACTAAATCATTCAGTCTAATGCCACCTTCTTTTGGATGCAATTGCCGCAGTGCATGCCAGCCAGGTGATACGAATTGCTCTTGCATTCAGAAAAATGGAGGTGATTTTCCTTATACTAGCAATGGGATTCTAGTCAGCCGTAAACAATTGTTACATGAATGTGGTCCTACGTGTCCATGCACTCCCAACTGCAAAAACCGAGTATCCCAAACTGGTGTAAAATTGCGGCTGGAAGTGTTTAAGACAAAGGATAGGGGCTGGGGCCTCCGGTCATGGGATTCTATTCGTGCTGGTGCTTTTATTTGTGAGTATGCTGGTGAAGTTATAGATGAAGCAAAGTTAAAACAGAAAGAGGATGGAGGGGAAAATGATGAATATATTTTTGACACAGGCCGTGATTATGAATCATTCAAGTGGAGTTATGAACCTGGATTAATAGAGGAGAGTCCTAATGATGTTGAGGATTATAACATTCCATATCGCCTGATCATAAGTGCCAAGAATGTTGGGAATGTAGGTCGGTTCATTAATCACAGCTGCTCACCAAATGTTTTTTGGCAACCAGTTGTATATGAGCACAACAATCAGTCTTTTGTCCATATTGCTTTTTATGCCATCGGACACATTCCCCCGATGACAGAGTTGACATATGATTATGGGAGTTCAAGCTCTAATGAAGCTGGCAGTAACAGTGGACCCAACAGGAAGAATAAATGCTTATGTGGATCGTCGAAATGCCGGGGTTATTTTGGTTGATCGTGTAGGTTCTAAAACAGGCTGATGCAGTGCCAACAAACATGATCCTGGTTCGAATAACTGGAACTTCATCTTTTTTAAATGTTTTTGAATGTAGCATAGCTGTAGTTTTGTTGTTTTGTCTTTCAATTTCTGGGCGATGGTTTAGGTTCCAACAACAGACTATCATGGTGCGACAAACATGATCCTGGTTAAAGTCTGGAATCTCCATCATGTTATATGCTTTTGAACTTAGCATGACTGTGATTTTGTTTATCTTTCAATCTTTAGGGGAGACATGCCTGCGTACTTTTAAGTTCCCATCTTTTTTTTTCTTATATAAAAACTCTCTGCATGGAAATTCATAAATGCAATCTAGGATATATGTGTAAGAAGATGCTTATGCTACGGATTCATGAAACGTCGTATTTGGAATCTGCTTGAATTTCTAATAAATAATATTATGAGATGCTGTTATAGGATAGTATTGCTCTGTTTTTACTGGGCAAGTCATGTACTTGTGTTAGGAAACAAATAGATGGAATTATAGTTTAGTTACTTCTTGATTGTTCATTGTTAACTTTGCTCTGATCGTAACCCATTTGTTGTACTGAAGTTTGGAGGTCCATGTAGACACAGTTAGACGTTTCCTTACTTATATCATCCTCGTACAACCAGACCCAAAAGTTCTTTTCATGACATATTCAGCTTTAGCTCAACCAAACTAATTGATCTGCCTCTGATTTCTGGCGATGACTCGGGTGAGTCGTGACCAGGCAACTATTCATCAAAGTTTAGTTTGGGCGTTTAGATGTTAGCCCTTCATCAATTTAAGAGATGTGTGGACAGTATACCCCTGGGTTTACACATTTGGTGTGTTATAGTATCCCTAGAGCAGTGATGTATTTATGTTCTGCAGGAGGTTCTAGTTCTATTCTGCAATGATACTATTAGAAGTTTCAAGATTGACCTCGACGACGTTTGGTCATCTTCTAGAGTGGCAGTTGCTAGTTCCTTGGCATTGCCCATAAATGAGGAATGGTTACAATTAGGTGAAGAATGTGTTTCTCAGTCTAGCTTTCGGGGGTAATTGGGCTGGTGTAGTTCCCAGCATAGCGGTTTAGAAATTCTGCAAAAAATATAACATATGCGGTATGTTTTGGAAGAGAGAGAGATGCAGGTTTTTGGAAGTGGAAGTTGATATTTCAAGTCATATCCCAATGTGAGTGTCATTCTCTTGAACATTGTGATGTCACACATCAACTTGCGAGTTCATTGCAATGTTAGACTTTCTTCTCGTTGTCCGTTAGTTAGTATGTTAACTGCTGACATAGCAAGCGTGGGCCTACTTTTGCCCAACTGAATTGAGAAATTAATTAATATTAACAAATTAAGAATGTTTTTGCAGCCTTCGTTATCGTTCCCAAACAAAAAAAAAAAAAACCAAAAACCCTAACAAAACATCCCGAGAAGTGAGAAAGAAGCCTCCATCTGAAATCACATAACGCATGAGTACTGTAGCAGGCTAAAAGAAAATCAGGTAAAAAGTCCTCAAGCGGAGGAATGCACGAATGGTCTTCTCGAGCACGAACCCAGGTGGAAGAGCCGTCACGAATTACGAGAAGGAATTCTCGGGGATAGATTCTTTTTCATTAATTTTAATAATAAAAAATCAGTTTATTAATATTTAATTAATTTCTCAATTCAGTTGACCGAGTGAGTAGGTACATGCCACATCAGTAGTTAACAGACAAATTGACGAAGAAAGAGACGGAGGTTTGACATTGCAACTATTTCGTAAGCTAATGTATGACATTGTAATGTTTGAAAAATGAGGTATGAGTTTATTATTTGATCCAAAGTTGATGTTGTAAAATGTATCCTACCCTTAATAATTTTTCCGAATTTTACTTTCTTGTTTTTCCAATACAACTATATTATTTACCCTAAGTTGGCGAAGAAACTTGGGCTAAGTCAAATAATGTGTTAACCATTTAAATTGGTATCGAACTTGTCATTCAAAAAATCCGAACTTAAAACCTTCTACAAATGAATATAAATACACCACTAGAATGTAGTACTATCATGATCGCAACACCGTAATTACTCACAATACCATCCCTCATTACAAGCAAGCCCTCCTCACACTCAAGAGTTGAAAATAATAACACCGAGGCTGGCGGTACACGGGGCCCTTCACATTCTACTTTCTCAAATCAAACTTGTATAAACCAGCTGCTATCTCAAAACCCAGTGCCGGCGGGGTGGAATTCTCGGAACAATGACGGAGCTTTTGTAAAAGCCTGCATGGCTCAAAGATCTCACCACCTCCATCTTCGTACGACTAGCTGATTTTGATGATTGCGGTCGAGCAACAAATGGACGAAGTAATAACTTCTCAGCAGTTAACCTTTCGCAAGACCTCGTGGTAAGGCAACCCTAACTTCTCAGCAGTTAACCTTTCGCAAGACCTCGTGGTAAGGCAACCCTTAAGAAAATCCCTAACTACACCTGAGATTTTTGCAGGGATTTTGGGACTAGATACGTGATCAAACATTGTAGTGACATCACTACAATCGCCATAATCACTCAAGAGACTTCAAATCGAAAACTTTGCTACAAAAACGACTTGATTAACGTTAAATCCATCATTTTTTATAGTTTGCATCCCCTAAATCATGCTTTTTTCAAACATCAAATCACATTTTAAAAAAGCAGATGCGTTATTAAGCTGTAGTCTTTTCAAGATTTAGGACAAAGAATCATATACTCTATGCAAAAGTCGGGTTTGTTGAAAATACACATAGATTTAAGACAAAACCTACGACAGATGTAAACAAGTCAATACAGAAGCAGCAATCTAAAGCAAAAATTGGCAAAAGTTGGGTTGTTGAAAACAATAACAAGATTACCTTTTCAGATTGAATACATATGAGTGAGATACTTCAAGCCAAAACAGAGACAACATCACATTACCAGCGAACCGAAAGCCAATAGATTAGGAGACTGCTGCAATCTGGAAACACAAGAATGAATTAAAACTATTATTTTGCAGACAGTGAGCCGCTTTCATGAAGGAAGTTGAGGTTCCACGATAAAAGAGTAGCCCAATTACTTACACGCACATGCACGGTTCTTCCTTTCCTTGATGTGGGATTCATGCTCTCAACAACTTAAACAAAAAAGATCATAGCTTTAAGCATCATGAAAAACCATACTCCAAGCATAGCACCAACTATTGCGCGTGCTAGAGAGACAGAGATCAAAGCCTGCAGAATCAAAACTCAGCGGTTTTATTTTAATAAGGAGGTTAACTATATAATTGCCCTCAGAAGTTTAAAAATATCATTTGCACCTTTTACCACCTCTAACTTTCCATTCCTTAAATCATGTTTTAAGAAATGTAGACGAGTATTTACATTTTAGCGACCTTTCGGGATTTAGGACAAACAATTGTTTAATCTTCTTTAAGCAAAGTAGGCAAAAATTAGGGTCGTTGAAACGGAATAGGAAAAAAAAAAAAAAAAAAGTTACTACTAGCTTGCCAAAGAAAGTTAGGATCAAGACCAACCAAAAGCTAGGCGTCCATATGATCCTGCAAAGCCAAAAAAAAGGTCAGTAATTGAGAACACGGGGAAAACTAATCTGGTAGAAGGACAATGCAACAAATTGGAAGATTTAGGATCCAAGCAACGACATGGAATGGAAAAGAAATAATGAACCAACTGCTCCACTTTGAATGCTAAAATTCAATAGTTAGGCAAGACCATAACCGTGCCTGCAATAATAAGACTAACAAAAACTAAACAAACTTCGGATACAAAATTTTGAATCCTTTGTGCAAATCCATGGATTAGTTGGAGAAAATAAAGGAATTAAAAGAAAGCAGATTCGCTTCTATAATCCAACTCTTCTAACTAAACCACCTTTTAATCTAATCTCAGTGATTCTATTTTGAGAAACAAGTAACTATTATTGCATTCAGAAGTCCAAAACTTTGCTACAAAAAAAGACATAACTAAACACCACAATTGATCATTTTTTATCGTTTTCAACCACCAAATATGTAAAATTTTCAACTACTTATACATATGAATTAATATTCATTTTTTCATCAAATCTCAGTGATTAATTTCAAAATGATGGTCGGGGCTCCAACTATAACAGCATTCTGAATTCCAACTACTTCTCTTAGCTACATAATCTTATCATTTTTATGTTTTGCACCTCCTCCTATTTGCTACTTTTCATGATTTAGTTTTCTGCAAAATGTGCTAAATTAACTTGGGATTGTTGAACAAAAGGTTTAGTCCCAACCAAACAAGTATAAACAAGTCAAAAAGTCAGTAACAAAGTATTAGCTAGCGAAAGAAATTAAGTAAGTGGAGAAGTAATGTTAGATTTAGAAATGTCAGGTGAAGGCTGCCCTACAAGTTCATAATCCTTGCAGAAGAAGTTCTGCAGGACGATGCAGTTTATTGCAGCTGACACTGGTGAAATTGCAGACAACAGTGACTTTATTCCAATAAGATAGTGTGGAATACGAATCATACATAACGGTGCCTTCTCTATATCCAAAGAGTGATGAGAGTTGTGGTGATGACAAATAACTGTTTTACCATATGTCAGGATCAAATGCTGAACTAGAAGGAAAGAAACAGAGAAGACCACTGAAATCTGCAAGCCAAACAGAGAAAATGGCACCTACTATACTGCAGATAGAGAGCCACTAAACAAAAGCAGCTACAGAAGGAACAGAGGAAGAACCAAAAGCTTTAAGCTTTAAGCATCACGAAAATATCACAAGTGATCCTCATTTTATCTTTTGAATCAACCAAACCACGTTTAAAAAAGAGGATAAGCATTTAAATTTTAGTAACATTTCAAGATTTAGAACAAATAAGTTTATTTTTTTTGAAGTGAAGAACAAGTAGGTTTATATTCCCCTTCTCTCAGTGAAGTATGCAAAAATTGGAGTAGTTTAAGACTTCGGTAAGACCAGACCAATAACAAACATACACAAGTCAAATACAAGAACTAGAAAGCTAAAGCAAAAATTGGGTTGTTGTAAACACAAACAAGAGTTATGACTAGCTTGCCAAAGGAAATTAGAAGCAAGACCTACCAAAATCTAGGTGTCTATTCGTCCTCTTTTGCAACACTGTATCTAGCCTGCTCTGCAACGTAATCATACTTTCATTCTGTGATAATGAGGCTTCATGTATCTTCTGTTATTCCACAAAATACACTCTTAGTTCCTTGTGTAAAAGTATTCTACATTTGATTCTTGGTAGATAAAGAACTGACTTACAAATTAAAAAAAGTAGAAATTGTTAACCCTTGTACTCAGATTGCTGTTTTTCACTCTTACTGGTGCATAGCATCTCAAATCATCTTTTCAAGCGTAGTCCTATATGATTAATGTGCCTCTGCTTGCTGCCGGCACTTCTCTGCTATCTATAGCCTAAGCAAGCGAAGAATTATAGATAAAAACTACGATGGTAACTTTCACAACAACAACATACTCACCAAAATCATGGGCCTGGATGTAGTTTTGCTGCTTTGAGGTCAATATGGGAAACATCTGCTTCAAATCTAGTAACGCGCCAAAACACAGAATATCAATCAACAATTGGGAAAAAACATAATCACTACAACTAGCCATTCATGGCCATGGCTGCACAATTGCACAATCAGGATTAATAAAAGTAGACAAAATTAGGGAAAAAAACAAACTACAATATCTGTGCAATTCTGTGGTTATAAACTTGAAATAAGATCTACAACAATAAAGATCAGAACACCAGACTTGTACTCACTTGTGACATAACACAGGGCTTCTATAGTCCGGCTGTTATTACTAAACCTACTGGGGGCTGAATTTTCGGAACAACGGTATAGCCCAGAGAAGAATGACATGCTTCGGATGCCTGTGGCTCAGCTATGAATGGATGAAACAACAATTGTTCGGCAGTTAACCTTTCCCAAGAATTGATGGCTAGGCAACACTTGAGAAAATCGTTTGCCGCACTTGAGATTCCGGGAGGAATTTTGGGGGTAATTTCTTGAGAAACCATGTCCAAGAAGTCTTCAAGATCGGAGCCGGGCTTCACATCCCAAGGGGGGCTGCCTGTTAACATCTCAAGAACAATGGCACCAACAGACCAGATATCGGAGGACTGATTTTGCACATTATCCATCAAGGCATCCGGGTCCGTATACCTCGGAGTGCCTCTCCATCCTCCCACATCCTCTTTGGTTCTCTTAGCCAATCCCAAATCTGCGACCTTGGCCACAAACCTTCCAGTATTAGCAACAGGCACAAGCAAAATATTCTCCGGCTTTAAATCGCAGTGGACGTAATCGCACTCGTGAATGTGTATCAACCCTCGGAGAATTGACCTTGTGTAACTTATGACATCGGATTCCGGCAAACCCCGGCCCTTGAATCTCCTGATCAGGCCATCAAGGGTTCCCCCTGCGGCAAATTCGAGCAGCAAATTGTAGACCATCTGATCGCCATCCTCACTGGTTGTGATTTCTTCACCCAAGCAATCAATCACAAAAGCGGAGCCTTTTACGTAGCTGAGAACCTCCGTCTCGTGCTGAATCGACTCGGAATGGGAAAGCTCAGCAGATTTGACAGCCATGACCGGAGGCAGTGGTGGACGATCACTGACAATGGGTTTGTTTTTCTTGGAAAAGGCAAGAAAAACCGACCCGAAACAGCCTTCTCCGATCAAATCTCCTCTCTCCCAGTCCTCGCCGTCGCCCCACAACCTCCCCAGCTCTTCTTCTTCGGCCTTCCTTTTCATGGTTTCGAACTTGTTGCAGAGAATCAGTGGTGAACGGAAACAAGCTAGTGTATGATTGCGTGTGTGTTGGGTGGCTTAGGGTTTTGAAGAGACGTGTAGTCGGTGATAATCTGCCTTCTAACGGTCGTCTAGGTTTTGACTTGAAGCTACCTAGTACCTACAGAGACGACGTGAGTACAAGCAACTAATTTCTTCTTTTTTGCTAGGGCTACTAATTTCTTCTCCCATTTATCATTTTATTTTATTTTATTTTTTGGTAAATTATTTATCTTTTATTTTTTACGGTTTTGTGAAACTAGTAATAATTGACAACCACCTGACGGTAGGAAAAGAGTATTTCAAATAAATAAAATGGAAAATGTAAGGGGAAATTATAACTTTTGTTGAAATTGTAAAAGGTAATTAATTTGTTGAATTTGAAATTATAACTTTTAATTTTTTCCAAGTTCGAATATTCAAATTAATCATGATTTTAGGAATCAGTGTCTTGCCGGAATTTTCGGAACGTAATTCAGTATTCTTACATTTTACAAGTTTTTAGATATTGTCAAGTAGTTTTGTAGAGTTCACTCAATGGTATTTCTTCGTGCACATGGCGGTTTAGCGCATTGACCACAAAAAAAATCATACCCATGCCAATATAGATCATACCTATTCTTTAGGTGTAAGTTCGATCCCAACTAATTTCTCTCTCTCCTAACAAGTAACAATTTTACCCACTAATAATATTGCCAAAAAAATTACGTTATTTCTTCATTTTTGGTATATACTTGTGTGTAAATCTAATTGATTGCACAACATGGATACATATGAGTCAAAATAAAACAGAGAAGTGCTAAATACGTTTTTAGTATTATGGGTGCAACTCAGGCGGGTTGGAAGGTCAACCCAATTCTAACCCAACTTTTACAATTCAAACTCGGGTTCGGGTTGGGTTTCATTCGGGTTTATTAGAGCTCGAGTTTAATTGGGTTGGGTTTGGGTTGCCCAACTTTTTCAAATTTAATCTTATAATAACTTAATTTTCAAGAATTCCTAAAAATAAACCAAGTAGCATCAAATCTAGCTAACTCTAATTTCATAAATCAATCTACTATAAAGCTTTAAGATTTAGAGACTACGAATATGGGCTAACTAATCAAAATCTCTTATTCCCTAGAAGCTTAAGTAATTATAAAGGGTAATTCATTAAAAAAATATTAGAAAGGGCGTTGGTTTTTGGTTTGGCACACTTGGGTGTAGTATGAACATTAATTGATATGGGTTACAATCTGGTTAGATTAAGTTTGGTTAGTGGGGTTAGGTTGGATTGGGGATGGACGGGCAAATGATCAACCCAACTCAACCCAATCAATGAACGGGTTAAAATTGGGTTGGGTTCGGGCGGGTTATAACTAAAAAAATCCTGCTTGTTCGGGTTTAAAGTCGGGTTAAACATGGACAGGTTCGGATTGGCCCAACCCAAGTTGTACCTCTAATTTGTATAACTACCACAAGATATCATTAAACCTCACCCTTACGAACGATCGAACTCCATAGCAAAAGTCTGCCTACATGTTGTGGAGGGAGAGTAGATTGGAATTTCCCGCAGCAGCTAATTTTTAAGCCTGGATAAAACACAATTTCAGTGACTTTTTGTGTATGGACATTTTATATTTTTTTCAAAATAGGCACGTAACAATGCCAACGTAGTGTTACAATGAGCCTTTCTCTTGTGCGTACCAACATCGAACGGCTGTAACGATTCGAGTGTATCGGTAGAATTGGGTCTAAAGACACGTATAATTGACGAGGTTGTGACTCCTTTTCAGCCAACTAAGGATGGGCAATGGTTATGCGGACGAGTAACCACGGTTAATTTACCAATAACCGTTTATGTTAATACCCGCATAACCGTTAACCCGTTGGGTAATTGCCTAAACGGTTATACCCATACTCATAACCGTTTATAAACGGTTAACCATACCCATAACCGCATACTCATTTAACTGTAACCGTTTAATACCCGTTTACCCATTTATCCTTTTTAACCTGTTTATCTTTTTTTTTTACCATTACCCTTTTTTCACCCGTCTACATGTTTTTTAACAACTTGAAAATTAAAAAAAAATTGTCATAATTTTTTTTTTCACAATTAAACACCGTTATAGGTACATTCATCATACATTTCCATATTTTAATTTTGTAAGTCCTTATACCATTCCAATAATTGAAATAATAGTTTACGGACGATATTTTTAACTATTACCAATGAAGGTAAATATAATATTTTCAAAGTATTATTAGGTTACAAAAATTGTTTAGAATACATTTTTGTCAAAGCATTTCTGTCAATTTCACGGTTACCCGCAAGGAATTTAAATTAATTTGGCCAATTCCTTGATGATGAGAATCATCATTCCTGTAGTAGTGTTATTGAGAGAAGGACCGATGAATTCCTTGCTAATTTATTGGATGCTAAGTATTATTGGATCGAAAACATGGTTTGTGTTAGTTTTACATATATAAAATAAATTGGTAAACGGTTACCCGTTTATAACCGTGGTTAATACCCATAACCGCCCATTTAAATTTCACGGGTAAACGATTATACCCATAACTGTTTATTTATCTTAACGGTTACCCATAACCAATGGGTATTTGCCCATCCCTAGTGAGGATACATAGCTTCTGAATTCTCCAAGGAGCATTATTACTCACTGTCATTGCATATGACCGGGTGCTATTAGATGTTTGAGTGTTCAATTCCATCCGCCAAAAAATACAAAGGGGCTCAATAAAGTCAAAAGGACAACAACTAGAGTCTACAACTTAAGTAAAACTTGCTAAATGAGGGAACAAACGTCCCTAAACACGAACAAAAACTCACTTAATACACATGGGCGACACAACCGTATTCCTACGAGTGCTTGAAAAACCCGCCACAACCCCTCCACGCTGCCGCAAAGAAAACGCTCCATGTTGATTTGGCTCAAAACAATATCCAAGGAAATACATGATGCCTATACCTGGTTTTTTTGTTTTCACTCCATACGGGTGTCTCTACAATTCTGCATCTGGCTTTGAAACTCATGAATGAGTAGCATTTCCTATCATACAGCCAGCTGCTCCGAAAGACCACAGAAAATATTCACAAACCATCATGACCAAAGTTCCGTTGTTTGAACAGTTTTAGCCAAGCAGATCTCGAAACAAGTTGGGATTCGGCCTTGTTGGTGTCACGCCCATCTGCCTTACACGTGAATCCTTTTCCAAGGCATCTTTAGGGTTAGGACCCTTATTAATCTGTGTTACCCCACCTTGAGCAGTCCTTGTAGCACTTGATAACTCAGATGTAAGATTAAACTCATCCCTGTTGGTCGGCAAAAGATCCCCAACACTGCTACTGAGCCCACTGACAGGTGTATCTGCATATAATCCCATAAAATCAGGTGTCTTTGCTGTACCATGATTCACATTTGCCGCAACGTCAGTTTGATCAAGAAGCCCTTCTAACTGCTTAAAAGGATCTACAGACGGAGCAGAACTAGTTGAGTCACCCAAGTCAAGCAAGTCTGGAGCTGGTTCATGATTAACTTCAGCGTGTACAACTGCAGCCTTTGGCGCCTGGGACTTCTCTGAAGCATGGCTACCCACCTTAGATGCCTTATGGTTGGCAGAAGATGACCTCTTCTCGGTTTTTGATGAGCCTCCAAACAGAGAAGAGGCAAGCTTCTGCTTTTCTTGAGAAATCTCAACCTGTGGCCGCCTTGAATCATAAGTGTCACGTGCTTTTGAATTTGAAGTGCCCACGCTATCTACTTGTGTGACCCCATTCGTTGTGTTGTGGGAAGTAGAACTTGAAGAGCTCGAGCTCGGTGATGCAGAAGAAGAGTATGTTGGCCTGCCCCATTTTTTTTGTACACCATCAAGTCGTAGCTTAAGTTCCGACGATCCTGCATCTGAGACAGATGGCGATGATGCAGGTTGGCGGGTCTCCCTCGCATAAGATGGTTCTAGCACTGGAACAAGCTCAGTTGAGGAAGCAACTGCAGCTGGGGGAACTCTTGATGACACTACTGGCTTTGGAAGATCATACGCTTCAAACCTAAGACTATGGGTTAAAGCTTCATGGTGATCTTGGTTTCCGAAGTTGCTGACATCTAACACTCCTGAGCGCTCATTCTCGGGAATATAGGGCTGAGCGCCTTTTTCTAGTGCTTCTTGGACATAGCCATTGAGGAATGAAAGGTTTTTATCAATCTGCAAAAGAAGATGAAGATATTAGTACATATATAATTATAAATGTAATCTTTATTTTAGATAAATAAATAACCTCTACAGGAGATGGTGTATATGCAGAGCAGAATCCCAAATCAAATGTTTTCCGGAATAATGGAGAAATATGCAAAACCTTTCAAAAGAACAAAAAGAACACCCACAACTAAAGGGAAGAAATAAGATGCAAGGACTAGGAAGGACAGAAGCCAGCAAACTAACTCCAACACTAAGTTGAAACACTTGCTAGGTATCCAGGTAGTACCAACCAAGTTTCACCCATGTTGGTAAAGTAAGAAATTCTAATCACAAACCGATTGTGAAGTTTTCTTCATTTACACCAAGATCTTTTCCAAAATGTTTTCCAATGTACAGTTTAATAATATTAATTGAGATCATCGCAATTGGGACCTGAAGATGACAGTCTTTATATTGATCCATTCCATACATATACATGAAAATATACATAAATGAAAATGGTAAAGAATGGGGAGCTGATTGCTCGGTGTATAAAAGACATGTGGGGCATATTTGAATAGCAAGCAAGCAAGCAGTCTCATTTGGATCCATGTTCGTTTTTCATAGTTTTTGTATTGTGCGTTACATTCTTCAGAATCTATATATTCTTGTCTAACATGAATAATTCTGCATCATGATTTTTGAGAATGCATCCATGAAACACTACCATATACATCGTCACGATGTGAAAAAGTGAACTACATTTCATCAAGATATTTAAACATGAGAGATATATTGTGACTTGGAAAAGTGTATTATGTCGCATTACAATAAGCTCTGAGAAATACATTTTTATGAGACAAATACATCAGTTCATTTTTCATATACTAACATTACAATAATTAAGGGTTAAATCTAAAAATTCTTACCAAACAAATAATTTAGTACAACAAACCTGAAAATAATGAA